ATTTCTAAATCGGTGAAAATTTAAGAATGACGTAGGTCAATTCAAAATTGACCTAAATTGTGAAACGACGTCGAACACATATATACTGTACATATTTTAGCGATAGTATAATTATAAATTACATAATTACACTAATACAGTAGCTATAAATTATCATAAGACAAATTGCAGCAATTAATTTAGATTAAATCTATATTTTGGGTTTCGGCATTTTTTATTTTTTTGCCGAAAAATCGGTGCCTAAATACTTTCGGCGCAGCTGAAACTAATTTCTACGGCATGTATAGCAACCCCCTACCTAACAAATAGTAGATTATTTACTTTTTAGGCTTGTATTACTCGCGCAAAGACCAAGCAATAATACAAGTCCGTTAGTTGCAAGAAATTTCGTAGTCATTCCGATATAGCTACGATGAAAAAGAAATAACGGTTAATAAAATAATCCGTCTTTTGTTTCCGAAAGAAAGTTGTGAAAGTAAACGGGTTTGGTGTTGGTTAGTTTTGCGGTTGTCTGTTCGACTTCTATTTAGAAAAGACGAATTTTGCAAAGTTCGTCGCGGAGACAATAGAACCAAAGGAGGAAATCGATAATAATCGTTTAAATTCCTTATCACAAAATAAAGGATACTGTATTTTTGACTTCATATTATGAATATTAAATTCACGACAAAATGTTGCTCTTTGTTTAATTGAATCCGTACAATTAAGTTTATATTCATAATTTGATTCCCTCATCCATTAATCCCCTTAACTTAAAACCTTTAAAATAATTATTACTTTTGTCTCATGATACTGCTTTTCACATGAGTAAGCAAAATAAGTCGTTAACTATCGAAAACAAATTTCGATTCGAAAGACTCCTTCTACATTACTATATCTGGTAAGTGTCATTGAAACTAACTGATTTTATCTATGCAATGCTGTGCTAACGCTAGATAAGGATTTGTTAATCAAAATGGTGAAATAAAAAATTGTCGTACAAAATTTATTGTAACATGTTATTTGTAACAATGTGTCGGACATTAATATAGATAATTAATCAACGACACGTCATGTAACAACTAATTTTTACTACCAAATATTTAATGTCATGATGATTAACGACTTCTCAAAGTTTTAAGTGGAACCCACATTTTTTGGATTATATACCTTTTTGTGCAGATAATGTAACCGCTTCTAACTTAGTAGGTTTCACGTTTAAATGTTTCTATACATTAAATTTCTACTTTTTTATTATAAATATTGTTAGATATGTTAAACAAGACTAAACATTTAAGCCTTTACTATAGTTACAGCAATACAGTACATTTCGTTATTTCATAAATCCGTTCCCGATGTGCACAACATTTTGACATTGAAGCACAAGAAAAAATAAATATACGAACTCGTATTTAACTAATTTTAAAACAAAAAATTCATATTGTGGATCATTTATTTACAAAAAAATGATCTACGCATGAAAAAAATTTACTTGAAAACGAGACTTTCAAATTAAGTCATCATCATCAATTCGGTTTTTTTTTTAAATTACATCTATATAACTCATTATATAATACATTCACTACGTACATAAATTACGAATCCCCTTAAGTTGTTAATATTTATAAATGATGTAAATGATGTCTAAAGAATATAAAGAACTTCCCACTAACGCGCCAAATAAGAAAGTCCAAAAACACAATTTGGAATACTTTAATGATCCTGAGTTTGAAACAAAGGATATAAATGAAGTAGCCTCTCTATTACTAGACACATATAAAACTTGTAATGGAAGACGATTTTTGAATGGTGATGATACAAATAGCATATTTCCATCTGATAAAATAGAACTTGAAAGATCAACACTGTCACATTTATTAACTAAGCATCAGTGGAAAGGAAATTTTCGTTCGCCGATTAAAGAAAAGTTGAAAATGGGTGGTTCTACTATTCTTGATGTTGGGTAACTATAATATAATCAATTGTTTAATGCATCTTAATTTTATGTTATTATTTTCTCAATTTCTCTTATA